CGCCGCACGTTTTCACAGTTACGGGCTGTCACGCCACGGCCATCCACGACCCGGTGTCTTTCGTCCCGTTCTCAGTCTCCTGGTCGCCCCTGGTCGTTGAGTGCATGGTTGGTTTGTTGGTTCCTTCGCCCTGTTGCCGCGCCACATGCCAGCCGTTCCCTTCTCGAGTTCCCCCCCGCTCCTCGAGAGGGCAGGGCTGCGTTCTGAGAGGGCCGACCTGCCTCCTCGCATCCGAGACGGAGGAGAAGGAGGAGGAGGAAGAGGACTGTTCATTCCAAGACATGCGATGCCTCGATTTTTCACTGCGCGGTCCCTGGAAGCCCCAACCCTTATTAGTTCTTGTTACGCTCCTGGGGCCTGGTGAGGGCCCCAGGAGGCACCAAACTTGAGGAACACATCCGTCGTGATATCTTCCAGACGCCAGCAAGTTTGCGTTCTCCTCGCATCATAGCCGACCGGTATGTTGTATTTATTTCTGGACTGCTTTTTTGAGGGCGAGTCAGGGTTTGAGAGAAGAAGCCCGCACGCAGGGCTGGGCCAACTTCCTCCTCTTCGGCTGCCGGTCAGGCATCCCCGCAGCGACTCCTTCGAACTTGTAGCTTCTTCGGGAAGCGTCTTCCTACTCCGCCGGGGACATCCGCGGGGGGGGCGGGTCGCCCCGCGGGCTCCGAGAGCGAACTCCCGGAGCGTGTGCCTGGCCTGGCCTGCAGGAGGAGGGAGGCGGAGGAAGAGCGAGGAGCGAGGAGCGGGGAGGAGAAGCTTGTTCCGAATACGTGTGCCTCCGCAGAGGTCGTGCGCGAGTGGCGCGCCGTGGCGGGCATGGCGCTGCGGTGCCGCGGCGTGGCCCACGCGCTGCAGCGCTCGCACGCGAGGCCGTCTCGGGCAGCGCGCCGCGTGGGATTTCCTGGGGCGGTTGCCGCGGGCGGCTCCAGTGGGGGGGGGGTCCTCGCGTTTTCTCCTCCTCCTCCTCCTCCTCCTCCTCCTCCTCCTCCTCCTCCTCCCCCTCTTCCTCCTCGTTTTCCTCCTCCTCTCCTCCTCCTCCTCCTCCTCCTCCTCCTCCTCCCCGTCCTCCCCTTCCTTCTCCTGCATCCCACGCTCAGCTTGGTGTGCCTTGTAGGTCAGCCTCAATGTGCTTCCGGCCGCGCGGGGTCTCCTTCGCCCGCCAGCGTCTGGCCCTCCCAGGTGGGGTCCGTGCAGATGGGGTCGCAGGATCGCGACGCATCGCCAATGCATCGCCGATGCATCGGAGACGTCGGCGTGGAGGAAGTCAGGCTCCACATGGAGCCGCATCCTGGATAGATCGCCTTCTGGAGTGTCAGAGGATTTGCATAACAGAAGACGGCATACGTATAATTTGTCGTAGGTCCGCGTGGATTTACTGGATCGATGTTGGGCCCTCGTGGCGTGCCAGGGAGGTGGGTCCAGCGCAGATGCCAGAATTCCACGCGGACCCCACAGAAGTGATGCTGATGTCTTTTTTGGGTTCCTCTAGAACATGTAAGCTATTTTTTCAATTCCTTGGATGTTCCCTGATCGGGGCCGTCTTTGTCTCAGCCGCTTTGGTTTTTCCTGGCCGATTTCTTTGGAAATTCTCTGTCCTTGCCCGCACTGTTATCTGAACATATGTCTTCTTCGGTTTGCCCTTAGCTGACTCTCACTCTCAGAAGGCTGTCCCCTTTTAGCAGGTGAATGAGCATGTATCGCAGTGCCGACGTAGCCGAAGCAACCGGGTCACCATCAGGGGCGCGAATATTCAGAAAAGGGAGAGGTACAGATACCGTTGTTGGACCAGGGAGCAAGTGTATAGGCACCTTTTGTTTCTCAAAGACGAGTTCGCGTCGTGAGAAAAACATTCAAACGGAAGGTTTTGTCAGTTTTCCGCCTCCGGGATCCCTCGCCGGGTCCCAGGACTGTCAGAAAATGATCCGGGATAGAAAACCAGCTTTGGGGAAGGGGTCGTGATATCCAAGGGCCCCGTATTGAAACAAACAAGACATCGGATGCTTTGGACCAGGTCACTCCCAGTGGCAGGGGGGTGGAAAATGAGAGTATCTATGACCCTCCGCATCTGGGAGCCCGTCAGCGTGCTACCTTTTCTGTTGTTGTCCGAGCGCACGCCGATTTGTCAAGCAGTAGCACGCTGATGGGTTTCCCGCTGCGGCGCGCCGTTGGCTGTGCTTCTGCTCCACCAGTTGCTCTTGCATCGCGTCGCGCCCTGGGGCAGAGCGGCTGCCCTCCCCAAATGGACAACAGCAAGAGGGCGCGAGGGTACGAAGGTAGCCGCGCATCGCGGGGCGCGAGGGCGCCCAGTTGGGCGGCCCAGATCTAGGCCTCCCAAACTGAGTCTATGTATATGGGGCCGGAGGATCGCGTCGCATCGCCGATGCATCGGCGATGCGGCTCGATGTGGAGCCCAATTTTCTCCGCGATGGCGTCGCCGATACACCGCCGTTGTCGCCGATGCACCGCCAATGTATCGTTGATGCATTGGCGATGCGGCGTGAGCGATCCTCCGACCCCATCTACTCGGACCCCACCTGGCTGGCCTCTGCTAGAGGCAGCGGCGCCAGCGCACGCAGTTGTGCTGGTCCATGCTATGGACCAGTTGCCCAGCGATTCTTGGGGGGGGGCTACTGCGGGATGGGCAGTTGTCGAAATGCATGGAATAACCCCACAGGGTGGGCGGGGAGCTTTGAACTACCCGGTCCAGCAGCCCCTTCGCTTAAGATGTTTTCATTCATTATTTCAGGAATCGCGTTTTCGCTTCAATATTGGCTACATGTTTGGTCTGGACGTTCACGGTCCTTCGTACGACATTATATGTCAAGGTGCACATGGCTGTGTTCTCACCCACAGAATAGGTAGGAATGCACGCTTTCATCAGTTGACCCCTTACTCGACCCGCCTCTTCTCCTTTGCTGCTGCTATTGGAGTGCTTTTTGTTGGGTGGCTTTTCATTGAAGTGTCCACTCCCCCCCCGCGGCGCGCATCCTGTTCATCGGGGGAAGTCGTGAGGCTCAAATTGTGTCGTTGGCTCAGGCAGTCTTGGGACCACTTCCTCAACCTTTAGTCAGGAATTGCACTCTCGCTTCAGATTTCCTTGCAATATGTTCAGGAGTCGTGCACTTGCCTCACACTTTACAAAGATCGCTTCAATGTCCCGCCCACCCGACCCGCCCGCTATGACCCGGCATCCCGACCAGCCTGTCAGCGTCCGCCCGCCCGAGCCGCGGGGTAGGGTCCGCCCGCTTGCCTGCTTGAAGCTCGCCCACTTCAATGTCCTGCCCGACCCGCTCGCAAGGGCCCGCCCGCCCGACCCGCCCGTTCGGGCCAGCCCTCCAGACCCGCCCACGAAGGCTCCGCCCGCCCGACCTGCACATTTGAATGCCCCGCCCGGCCCGCCCGTGAGGGCCAGCCCATATTGTAGCATCGTTGGTGCTTGCCTGCGCGCTCGCGGGTGCAGTTTGGGGGTCTCTATTGGAGGGTCTTTGGGCCCTCCTCTGGGGCCGCTTGGGGGCCTTCTGGCAGTCTCGGAGGCCACCTTCTGGGAAAGGGCGTCTTGGAGGCAGTGTTGGAGGATTGTCTTGTAGCATCGCTGGCACTTGCATGCGTTTGCGGGGACATGTTTTGGGGCCCCTTGGGGAGCTCTTGGGGTCTCTTGGGGGCGTGTCTGGGTAGCCTACGGGGGCTCCTCGGGAGCCTCTTGGAGGTCTCTCGGGGGTCCTCTTGGGGGCTTTCTGGCGGTCTGGGGGGGGGGGGGGGGGCAGTTGTCGGGAAAGGATGCAGAATTTCCCTCTCTTCGGGCCTTCTTGGAGGGTTTGGGGATATCTTGAGATGCCTCTGGGGCCGTCTTGGAGCCCTCCTGGGCTGTCTCGTGGCTGTTCTGGTGGCCTCTTGAGTTCAAGTGTGGCAATCTTGGGAACTGAATGGGCATTTTTGGGCGATCGTAAGACTGAAGAGGCGGTAATGCCCAAATCTTTCAGGCACTCTTAGAACAATCATCAACTGTTGGCCTCTCGGGGGCCTCTTGGAGCTGGTTTTGGCATTTGATTTGATATCTTGAAGCCTTTTGGGAGTGTGTGGAGGCCATCTTGGAACCTGCCACCCATGGCTTCCGACTCGAATGACCTCTTGGAGCTCCCTTGGGGTCTCGGGGCGCTCCTAGGGTGCTTTTGGGGGTCCTGAAGGCAGCCTCCGGGAATTCTGGCATCTGTGACACCGACCGCCCAGGACCTGCCCAGGGACCGCCATGGGATCGCGGAGTTGCCTCGGATTGAATTGAACTCGAGTTGTCCTGGATCACATTCTGTCCTGTGTAGATGGTTATTGTCCCGTACCCTGAGGGATCACGAGCTACTTCGGATCAAGCGGTTAAAGTGTTTCTTGGATCTCATTTTGCGGACACCAAACAGGGCCCCACGGCAGGTTCGCGCCGCATTGACGCGGCGGGCGACGCTAGCTCGGACATTCAAGTGTGAACGCCGCCAGTGGCCCGGAACCGGCCGATATCGACAGGTTGGCGATGTCGGAAAGCCCCGATCGTCCAAGGTGGAGCGAGCCACGCGACGACAGAAACCAATGTCGACGTCATCGCGACATGAACCCTCTCCACCCGGACCAGGTCTATCCCATACATATGATTCGGGTGCCCAAGCTGTCGTGGTCGTCGTCCTCGTCGTCGTAGTTGTCGTTCTCGTCGTCGTCGTCGTCGTCCTCGTCATCGTCCCCATCGTCGCCGTCGTCGTCGTCGTCACCGTCGTCGTCGTCGTTGTCGTCGTCGTCGTCCCCATCGTCGCCGTCGTCGTCGTCGTCTTCGTCGACGCCGTCGTCGTCGTCTTCGTCGTCTTCCTCGTCGTCGTCGTCGTTGGTCGTCGTCGTCGCCGCCATTCTGGCGGCGGAGGCGCTCGCTGCGATCGGTGGCGCGCGGCTGGGCCGCCGCGGCGAGGGCTGCAGCGCGTCGGCGGAGAGCGGCAGAGGAGCTGTCCCGGCGCCTGCGCGAGGCACTCGAGGGAGGGGATGGGCCGAGCTCTCGTTTTTTCCCCCTCTCTCTCTCTGTCTCTTTCCCTCTCTCTCTCTCTTTCTCTTTTTTGTTGTTCTCTCTCTCTATATATATATATGAAAATAAATATCCATATTATATCTGCGCATGTACCGTAGCACCTCGCAGTCGCGAATAAGGGTGAGGGGGCGGCGGGGCCGTCTGCAGTCTACGAGGCTATGAACAAGCCGCAGGCGCCTAATTTCTACAAAGAATACAACGAGCCCGCCGCCAGCGCTGATTTTTTGTTACAGCAATGTGGGTGGGTCGCGGGGTGGGTCGCGGGTGGGTCGTGGGTGGGTCGCGGGCGGGTCGCGGGTTGGGTCGCGTGTGGGTCGCGGGTGGGTCGCGGGCAGGATGCGAGTGGGTCGCGGAATGGGTCGCGGGGGGACGATGCCAAACAACAAACAACAAACAACCACCACCACCAACAACGACAACAAGCAACAATCACAACAACATAATCATCAGCAACAACAAAATCAACATCAAGAATCCTCATCGCAGAATCCCACTTCAGCCACGCACCCAGGGACATTGAATGACCGTTCGGCCCCCACACTCTGATATATAATCCGCCGTCGTTCACGTGATCCTCGTTTGCTCTCTGACTCTCTCTCGCTCTCTCTCTCTCTATCTCTTTCTCTCTCTCTCTCTCTCGCACTCTCTCCGTCGCCGTGCCGCGCCAGAGGGAGGAGGAGGAGGTGAACGAGGAAGATAATCGGAGGAGAAGGGAGGAGGTGGAGGAGTAGTGGAGGAGCACGAGGATGAGTGGGAGGAGCAGGAGGAGAAGGAGGGGGAATAGTGAGAACATGGGCGAGTAGAGGGATGTGTACCAGAGCCAGCGTGGAACTCAATCAGTGCCTTTCTAGCAGTGTATGTTTTGTAATCTATGTGGAACAATATATGTGGGGCAATCTACGTGGTGCAATCCATACACACGTACATACATCTATCCATGTATAGGTATCGATTTGCGGCGCAACATATGTGGTGCGACCTATATGGTGTGATCCATAGTGTGCCACCTATGTTGTGCAACGTATGTCGTGCGATCTAGGTTGTGCAATATGTGTTGTGGCCAACCTGGGTTTAGCAGTCTTTGTGGTGCCACCTATGTGGTGCAGTCGATGCGATTCAAGCTATGTCTCGACTCATATGCAACTGGCTCGAGTTCGCGTTCGACGCACAACAATGCCCCGACCAAGCTGGCTTCAGACGTGGCTACGGCACCGAAGACCACCTTTTCACCACGACAATACTGCACGAGCAGTCAGATCGTTGGCAGCTACCTCTCTGGGCATCCGCTATCGATTTTTAAAAAGGCATTCGACTGCGTAAGGCACAGCAAACTTTGGGAAGCTGTACGACAACAGCACATCCCTGATGCATATATCACTTTCTTACAGCAGATGTACTGCAACCAGACAGCCACGGTCAGGACAGACACTAACAGCCGACATTTCCACATACAGCGTGAAGTGAAACAGGGAGATCCCCTCAGCTCATTCTTGCTCAACGCGCTGATAGAACACATTCTCCGGAAACTCAAGGCAATTTGGCATCGAAAGAGGTTTGGCATCAAACTTGGTTACGCGAGTGGTACTAGCATCACCAACCTAGGCTTCGCGGACGACGTCTTGCTGTACGGCACGAACCTACGACAGCTTACTTGTATGCTACGAGACCTCAAAAGCCAGGCATCGCGCTGCGGATTGTCACTCCACCTACAAGACCAATACCCTTACAAACGTCAGCCGGAGGATGGGGAGAACAATATCGCACGTCATGTTGGACGACGCACGCGCCGACATCTTGCACCACGACCAGAGCACAACATATCTAGGCATAAAACTGTCGTTCCGAAGCTTCCACGGGCACGAACTGTCGAACAGGGTCGCTGCAGGATGGGCGAAGTTCGACCAGTTGCGGGACGAACTTACGAACAAACGGTTTCCATTTCGCAGCAGACTACGACTGTTCAACGGCCAAATCACACCTTGCGTTATGTACGGGTGTTGCTCGTGGGCTCTCACCAGGGACATGCTCCTCACTCTGTGGAGGACACAACGGAAGATGATTCGCGTGATCGTGGGCGTGCCGAGAAGACGATCCCGGCAGGAAAACGACGACGCAACACCCCATGCCGTCATCATAGCCGCCGACGCCGACAACCAGCACGACCCAGGTCCACGCAACAGAAACGACGATGCCAACAACGATGGCCTGGACGCCTGGGTGGATTTCATGCGCAGGAGCACCTACGAAGCCATAGCTATTGCGGAGCGCACGTACGTGAAATATTGGACATATATTTTCTATACGACCACCATTCGGATGATAAGGACGTTCGGGGGGGGGAGGAACCAACGTCTCACTCGATCGGTCACGCTATCGATCTCATGATCGGTCTCGCTCGATCGATCTCACTCGATCGATCTCACAATCGATCTCACTCGATCTATGTCATTCGATCGATATGACTATCGATCTGACTATCGATCCCATAATCGATCTCACGATCGATCTCACAATCGATATCACATACGGCTTCACTATCGATCTCACTATCGATTTCAAAATCGATCTCACAATCAACGTCATCATCATCATCCACAGCATCGTCATCAAAGTCTTCAACATCATCATCATCATCGGGATGCCATCATCATCAGCATTACCGCAGCACCATCATCACCAACATGTTCATCATCACCATCATCATCGGGACACCATCATCGCCACCATCATCATCAACATCATCATCGGGACACCATCATCAAAATCAGCATCATCGGAACACCACCATCCTCATCATGTCATCATCACCATCATGCACAACATCAAAATCATCTTCATCAGCGGGACACCATCATCTGCATCAGCAACATCATCGTCATCATCAACATCGCCATCATCATCATCATCATCGTCGGGACACCATCTTCACCGTCACCATCGTCATCATCACCATCATCCGGATTGGGACATCATTCTCATCATCAACATCAGCATCCTCATCATCACCATCATCGGGCCACTACCATCGAAAATATCATCATCACCTCAACATCGTCCTCATCATCAACATGACCAGCCTCATCGGGACACCATCATCGCCATCATCATCAACATGATCATCATCATCGGGACACCGTCATCATCATCACCGTCATCATCAACATCATCACCATCAACTTCATCATCGTACTCACCGGGACACCATCACCATCATCATCATAACATACTCATCCCATCATCATCGACATGATCAGGATCATCTACATCATCAGCTTTTGGACACCACCATCACCATCAGCGACATCACCATCTTGAACATCGTCACCATCGGGAGACCATCATAATCACCACCATCATCATCATCATCGACATCGTCAACATCACCATCGTCATCACCATCATCGGGACACCATCATCGTCACCACCATCATCATCCTCAGCAACATCATCATCAACATCATCGTCATCATCGGGACACCATCATCCTCGTCACCATCATCATCACCACCACCAGCATCATCATGATCATTGGGACACCATCATCATCAACATCAGCATCCGCATCATCACAATCATCGGGCCACCATCATCAAAATCAGCATCATCACCTCAACATCATCCCCATCATCAACATCACCATCATCATCGGGACACAATCATCGTCATCATCATCATCAACATGATCATCATCATCGGGACACCATCATCATTACCGTCATCACCAACAGCAGCACCATCAACCCCATCATCATCACCAGGACACCATCATCATCATTATCGTGTCATCATCATCCCAGCAGCATCAACATCATCAGGATCATCAACATCAGCATCATTGGGGCACCATCATCAACAGCAACCTCAACATCAACAACATCGTCACCATCGGGACACCATCACCATCACTACCAGCATCGTCATCATCATCATCATCATCATCATCAACATCGTCATCATCATCACCGTCATCGTCATCATGAGCATCGGGACACCATCATCATTACCACCATCATCATCATCAACAACAACATCATAGACATCACCATCATCATCATCATCGGGACACCGGCGGGGCACCGGCGGGACACCGCGGGCCAATAGCCCCCGGAAAGGAATCATTTGGTCCGGCCTCGCCTCAGCCGGAGTCGGGAGACCGGCGGGACACCGCGGGCCACCGGCCCCCGGAAAGGAATCATTTGGTCCGGCCGCGCCTCAGCCGGAGGAGACTTTCTTCTCGCCCGCCCACGCAGCTTCGCCTCGCCCGCACGCACCGCACGCACGAACACGAAACCGAAACCGATTTCCCGGTAGGGGGGCTCTCCGTTCCATTTCGCTCTCACCCCCTCACCTCCAACAAAAGGAGGTGGCACTACGCAGCCCGGGCCGCAGGCCACAGATGGACGAGGCGTTGTATATTTTCGGGCCCGAACGTGCACGACGCACGACGAGCAGAACGACGACGCGGCGGTCAGCGAAAGTCTTGGGACGATGATATAGTGTCGTTTACGAAGAGTGCTACAGAGTACCAATGCGACATCCAATGGGTAGATATGGCATCACATGATCAATTGTGGAACGGTTTGAAGGGCGGCTTTCTCAGCTACATGGATGGATACCTGTCCCTTCCCCAACGAGGCTCCAATAAAACCATCCGATTTGAACCCAGGGGCTCCCCTATCTCCGACACTGGTTTCGTCTCCAACTCCCGCCCCATCTCTCCGACACTGTTTCGGCGCCCGCCTTTCCGATTCCAGCACCGATTCCAGCTCCCAGCTTTCCGACTCCAGCGGCCGTCCCGTCTCTCCGACTCTGGTTCCGAGTGCAGATCCGATCTCTCCGGCTCTGACTCCGGTTCCCGTTTCTCCGATTCCAGTTCCCATCCCATCTCCCCGACCCCGGTTCCGCCGATCCCAGCTCCCGTTTTTCCGACTCCGGCTCACG